TTTTTTTTTTTTTTTTTTTTTTTTTATCAAGAAGTAAGCAACACAAATTTGTATAGAAAGAAACACAAATAAAGTAATCTGTCTCAAACTATTTCGATCTACTGCCGTTCATCTACAATGAGGAACCAGACAAAAATTAGACTCAGCTTGATGTGCTTGTCACACGGCTAAAAATTTGAAGACTTTATGTCGACTGCAGTTCAATTTGACCATAACTACAGCATAAACTAAGCCAGCTTTCTAGTGCAGTCGCTTCTTGAGCACAGAAAGTCATTAAAAAATCCTCTCCGAAGCAAAAAGTCGTCGTCGGAGGTCTGCTTGAAAGGTGGCCATAGGTAAAACGAAGTGAAAAAAGTGGTTGAAAAAGTACTGTTACCAGTCCTTGTCGTTAGAATTCTTCTTCATTTTCTTTTATTATTTCCATCATCCGTTATAACTCTGTTTGTGCTGTTTTCCTTCTCATCTTCGCTGTTTGGTGCTCAAGCTAATGATCTTGCACCCAGTTTTGCCAACTCTTCTCCTTGTACTTATCAATTTTCAGTACTTCCTGTTTTTACTTTGTAATTTTTTACTCGTATTTTTTCATACTCTTCATATATACTTCTTCTTTTTCTTTTCTATTTCCATCTCATATTTTTGCTCTATTTATTGTCGTATACGCTGATTTTCTATTTTTGTTTTATAGTTTTGCTTCAATTTTTGTTTTTGCTTTCGTTCTTTCTTTCCTATTTGTTTTCCTTTAATTTCTTTTTTAGGCATCCTCTAATATCCTCTAATATCCCAACACAAAAGAATCAAACAAAACAAAACAAAAAAAAAGAGGAATCTAAAAATTTTTTATTAAAATGCAGAAATGAAACTTTTCAAACAAACATTTTTTTCATATTTCACACTATCTCACATTACAGCTCTGTTACTGTACGGTAAGTTCGGTATTAAATGGTCACAGGAATTGAATAAAAACAATTAAATGTAAAAAATTTATTTAAAATGCTCTTAAAAACATTTTCAGATATTGCGACAACACCTGCAATTTTTGCACATAGTTAGATTCTGTAGTTTAGTGGTATAATGCTAATGATAACAACCATACGTTGAAACATTTCGCTTCAGCAGGGCAAGAAAGATTTACCACTGCTACTGTGACCACCAATTTCAAAACCCATTAACTGTCACAGTCTTCCATCTAATCCACAAGTCATCTAAAGATCTGCAAAAATTAGGCGTTTCCTCTGGCGTCCAAATCGAACGACATTGTTGATTTACGCGGTGACCATCAACGGTCAACTGTATAACTGGCCGCCAAAAAAATTTTCGAAAAGGGTTATGCGTTGGCTGCCAATTTGAAGGTCGTCATCCTGAGCTGTTCACCAGACTAATCTTATAGCATCTCCTATCTTCTAATTCTTCTTTGACTTCTTCTATCTCTAATGTCAAGTTGTTGAAGTCGCTAGATGGCATACATAAACTATAAGCTAAGAATACGCGCCAGCAGTTTCACTGCACTGTGATTGGATTTGAAATGTTAGTTTCGTTTTTTAAATCGTCGTTTGTCACGAATTTACTTAAGTACAGAGATTGTATAGCTGTAACCTATGCATTGTTCTTTTTCTTTTTTAGTGTTTCACATCTGGGATGCTCCAGACAAGTAGTAGATTTGAAAACTGTAAAGAAATTGTTGTGCACCAAGTATATTCTTGAGAGCTGGTATAATGCTTTCCGAAGCAGACCGCCATACCCTTGTAATTTCTATGGAAACACTTTTACTGGATTTTGAACCGGAGGAAGCCTGTTCGTACATGAAGGCCAAAAGTGTTTTCAGCGAAGATCACGTGGATAGTGTTCAAAAAATGGTTAGTATCCCTGCTTTCTGTCCTCGGAAATACTGTACGGCTTCTAATAATGTTGTTTGTGGCGCAGTACGCAGTGATACTTCATCTTTTTCATTTGTTATAGTTCAGATATTATTTACGTAAGGTACCTGCTGATGCTGACAGTAATCACTACAGTTGACTCATACTAGAATTCCAAAATAAGAAATTGGCTGCTTGTTAATAAAGTACAGCTGTAGTAATAAGAATATGTTACGTTTTTTACTGAGAGCGTTTTCTAGGAGGAAGGTGCTTCTAGGACAAATAAATTTTTCCACCTCTATGAACAAGAAGCAATGGATTTAAAGCCGCTTCTTCACTTCCTAAATGAAAATAAACAGTATCACTTGGCCAGCTTAATTGAAAGAAATCGTACAATTAAGCCTGGAGAGCAACCATCACTCTCAAATAATTGCCTGGCGATGCGCCTGTTTCGATCTGGTATTCCTAGCCGCTGTAAGAACCATGTTACAAGGGATAAGCTGCTGTCTTCTTTGCATGAGTCGTTTGTTAAGCTGGCCGGTGAAGGTAAGACAATTTTTTTTTTTTGCTGTGTACCGTATAAAATTTTGAGAGCAGCGTAAATTCCAAATTTTTGGATTTTTAGATCAATTTTGGTTGGTAATTCATGGAATGGCAGGGTCTGGTAAATCGTGTCTTGCTGCTGATATCTTTATTACATATCCGGAATTGCTCAGCAGGTAACAACTTACTCCAGTGAAAACTGGCTGTAAAATGTTTGTTTAAAACTCCTTCAGATGGGTGGTTGGATTTTGAAGGTTTTAGTGCTCAGTTTGCACTCTGAAAAAAAGTTATTTTTTCGTGAAAGTGTGTTCATTTTTTCAATTTTCAGGTATGAAAGAGTTATTTGGCTCACAGGTGACACATATGAAACAGTTGATGCGTTACCTTTCTTTTTCTCTCATTTCCTCACAGTACTTGGAAGTACTTCTGCGTTAACTGGACAAGAAAGATCCGCGGAACTCCTTAATCAGGTCACAGTGCTGTTTAGTCTTTTTGACTTTATTGGGTAAGTCTTCACTAGTTCTCCTTGAAGTTCTTTTCATATCTTTTTATTTAGGCTCGTTTAGCGTTATTGGAAAACCCAAATATACTGGTTGTTTTGGACAACGTTGTTTTTGAAGAGTGCGTACGGTGGTTTGATGAGCTGCAGGTGTATTTTTATTTTATTTCTCTTCTCTACATCTGATGTGTTCAGCTTGTTATTATTAAAAGAAGAAAGTTCTTATTTTTAATTTATGAACTGTTTATTTTA